ATATATATATTTATAAAATTATCAAATGAGATATCAAGAATTTTTCTGACTGCTGCTTTGGTCTATAATAGCTATTGTTATTAAAGCAACTTCTAAGTCTTTAACTTCATAGCATGCATTGATATCAGTGCAAATCATACAAATGCATTCTAATATGCAGTTTAGTGTTTTTCCTCTTGTAGGCACCTAATCATATAATTTCAAGAAAAGAGCTTATAACATGATACAAGTTCAGAAAAACCTGGGAAGACAGTAACTTTTGCTTTAGTTTTCACTTTCACTTCACTAGTATCTAAGAAAACCCCTCTGAAAACCCTTTCAAGTTTGATCAGACTCAGGAAAATTGAACCAAGATTTAATATTAGCAGAAAACATCAGACCATCTTCGTGAATGAAATGGAAGCAATGGAAGTGTTTCTTTGACTGATGGCTTAATGATCTTTTCAGGAGAAAGGTCAAATTACCTTTATTTATATAAAATACTCTTAGTAAGCTGCCCTTTAAATCACGGTACATTGGAATGGACAGTCCCAATCACGTTAATTAAGCTGTTTTGCAGACCAAGCAGAAGTAACTTTTTTGGTCATTAGCAGTGACTACATGTACAGCAACAGCAGTTGTCATAAACTTACTTGAAGCTTAACTCAAGCATCATACAGGGGAAAAAAAAAAAAGGTCTTGGCAATCTTAACTTTAGCTGATGTATTCAAAGTCCCATTAGACTGAGGTCTCAAGAGAAATCTGAATCTTAGACAAAGTCAAATTGGGAAAAACAAGCCTACAAAACATTGTAAGATCTCCAAAACTCTTCACAGACAGCCCATTGTGCAAATTATGTGTTTCTTGATGCAATAATCATTTTCAACAAATTTTCTAAGCTTTCCCATCACAATCTAAAGAACCATATATAGCAGATGGGAGAAGATCTTACCCCTAAGACTTACCAAACTATCTAAATGTCTTATGTAAAGAAGAAATATTTTCTCAAATCATCAAATCCAAAGAATACGACTGGTCTGAATTTTAAAAAAAAACACAACCAAACCCCACAAAAAAAAACCCAAAAAACCAAAACAAACAAAAAAAGCCACAAAAACCAAACAACCAAAAAAAAACAACCCCAAAAAACACAAACAACAAACCAACAAGCACTGTGATCACAAAACTTGCAAGATATAAGAGAGCTGCCTGCAATTAAGCCCCATTTCTGGATGAAACTACTAGCTCCAGACAACAAGTGACATTACTGAATGGGTCTTTATTTCCTACTGCGTTTGCTGTATCCTCTAAAACAGTTAAATTCGGAGCCAAGTGATGACCTACACTCAGAGCCCAATCATTTGCTACATACAACATGCAGAGTTCCTATTTTGAGAGCATCCTATTTCTAGAAATACCCCGTTATTCAACTGGATACTTTTGACTGCTTCGAGCATTACCTGCACAAGACTCAAGTCCTGGCAGTGTTTAAACAAGTCATTTTTCTAAAAACTCAAAGAAAGATATAGGAGATTCTTCTAGAAATACATCACTAGAATATGGCAGATCTGTGGTCTCATTACACGGTAACTCTGAACAGTATTGCATTGCAGAAATTTTGGCAAGACAAGGAGTTCCAAATCCCAACTTCTTTGCTTATTGGTCACAAGTTAGAAAATTTCAGAGATTCCTCCAAATACTTGAAACATATACTAAATTATGAGGTCACAGAAAAAAAATCTAAGCAAGATATAGCACAACAACAGGACTGTGCATTAAGACTTCTCAGCCTCATGAAAAGCTAGTAGCTGAGCAATTCTGAAAGGGACCTATCCTATGCTTACCTTTTCATTGTGAGGAAGGTCAGAGGGCAAGTATATAAAATCCTAGGGACTAGGGTTTTCTAACAGCATGTTTTACAGACAACTAATCTTTCAATATATTTAGGACATTGTCCTGACTGCAGTGTCAATTAATGTGATTCTAGGAAACAAAAAATATTTTCCAGAAAGTATTCCCAGACACAGAGTAAACTTTTAAACTCTCTCTCATCCAAGTGATATACTAGCTCTGCTGGACTACTGTGCACTAAGAGATATTTTCCTGCTATTTGGTTTACCAACAGAAGTGCAGATATAGTTACACTGTAAATCAAAACCAAGTAAAACCCCCTTAAATATGACTAAGCTAAGTTGGGAACCTTCTTAATTTTAAATTAAGAAAAATAACGCAAATAATAAGCTGTAATCATCCCAACACTCTTTGTTGCTTTTTGACTCAATATGTCCCTACCTTATGTCAATCTTTATCATTTCAAATTATAAGGACTTCAGTGGAGAAAACCCCACATCTCCCACTACTGCTCCTATGCTTCTGAAACGTGCAGAATCTTGCTCTTGTAGGATTAATCATGTCAAGTAGCATGAACAACTATTCCAGAATCTACATACTCTACATTTGGCAATCTTCAGCATTGTTAAAGGAGCTGGTCTTGTAGAACTACATTGTCTAGAATAAGAAAAATAATCCTTTTCTTAAAGCATAATTGAAGAGTACAGGGTACATAAAATTATTAAAAACATTATGACAATTAGTGGACTTTAAAAAACCTAACCACCATTACATTGTCACTCACACACATACCAGCTTCTGTGTCACTGAACAACTCGGTGTATTACACCTTTTTACAAAATACCACCCCAGTTTTAAAATACAGCAATATTTTTCTACATTTGCAGATCACGTTTTCTCTGAACGTGATGTGATGGCAGCACGATTGGACAAATTCTTTCAAGACCCTGATCAATACACCCATAACTGAAACTCACATTTTCACATTAGCAGTTTCCAACTTAGCTAGATGAAAGTTGGTCGCATCTTCCCCTGTAATACTGACATGCTTGACAAAATTACGGCTGACAATTCATACACTGTCAGCCATTTATAAGCAATGAATGGAGCATAACCCAAGCATCCTGAATTTATAATACTTTTTTTAAAAAAAAAAAAAGCTATTTTTTCTTTTTCCCTGAAAAGAAGAAAAGTTTGCCAGCATTAATTACAACTGATCTACAACTCTAACTTCAACATTAAGTAGAAACTACAGGTGATCTAAGAATGTATGACTGCAGAATTATTTTTCTGAAAAAGCAATCCTGGAGTATTTATATAACAAACTCTATGCTGGGAGGAAAATGGACAATGACTTCTAGAAATTATAATTAAAGTTACTGGGATTAATAGGAACTGGCTAGATCTTTCCAGTTAAAATATTTAATTAAGTCAATGGAAATCTGGCACAAAAATATTTAAATATTAGAAAAAAAACCCAAATGTTTTGTTAGTGTGCAAATATAACAAAGAAAAATTAACAAGGAAATCATTACCAATAACACTTTGGGTGGGGCAAGTTACAAACTACACAAAGATTTCAAATGTCTGTGTACAATGCTGAACTAGCCCACAAAGAATTCAGTTTCTGGGAGATGTACAATGTGTTATTCTTCAGTATAAACACCAAAGTAGAACATTGCCTCTGTGGGCTGCTTTTCCTCAAGATGTTCTTTCTATGCAGCCCCCTTCCACAGCCAAACTAGGCTTCCCTGTACCCTGCAACCTTCTCTTGCTACACTCTCTCTTTTTTTTCTTTTTTTTTTTTTTTTTAAAGAAAACGTTTATAATAAACTGAGGGCTGGCTAGCCACAGGTCCTCCAGCCTTTAGAATGGCAGGCTATCCAGTTACAATTAGCAAATCATATTAACAGATTTTAAGTAGAATTATCAAATAATTTATTTACCCTGCACTAATGGCTAGACAATTCAATTAAAAGCAGTCATATTTCTTCAGTACCTAGGCCAAAATCTGAAGAAAACCCAGACAGCAAATAGCACGACAAAGAAAGTAATATTAGTCTACATTTTTTGAAGCCTGTGACCCTGAAACAATAAAATTTGTTAATCTTCAGACAACTACATGCCCTTCACCTTTTAAAAAGACAGTTTAAATCATCCACAGATTTTCCGTTGGAACTTCATGGAATGAATGGAAATATCAATCTTTTCCTTCTAGTAAAAAATGCTCTTTGATTTTCCTCTAAAAGTCCCATCTCATTTAATAGGTAGATCATGGTAGCTCAGAATGTAGCAGGTAGCTCACAGTGGTTACAGATGTTTCACATCTATTTTTTTTTTATTTTCATATTTAGAATATAATCCAAAAAAACATTACTTAAGATAACACCCAACTCAGCTGGTACTTTCCTATCTGATTACCATAAATAACTACAGGCAGCATTAATGCTGTGTTTTGTCACATAATCCCTTTCTAATTCAAATCCCTTCCTAATTCAAATCTAATCATTAAGCATTCTTTCAATTCCATTTAGTCAATTCATTGAGACAGCTAAAGCTTGCCTCTTTCAACTTTTTTTTTACACCCCCCAACAGGGCACGCCATTTATTCATTTACATAGCATTATTGTTACCGAGACAGAAGTTTTTGCACTGTTTTCCTTCTGTTCCTTATCAACACTAGCTATCTTATGCTTCAAATCTAAAACCATCTTCTTTGTCAAGTTGCCCAAAATATTTCAGTTTTCATAGGCATTACTTCAAAATATAGGAGCAAGCTACACAAAGAAAATGTGATGCAAAATGTACTATACTGGAAATGGCTGCCACAGAGGCACAGTTATTTTAGTTTTCTTTCGCTTAGGACCCACAACAGGTAGTGAACTCACAACAAATCAGGAAATACCCTAATATTTTAGAATAAACAACTACTTTGCTGTTAGAAAATAGTGTATGCTTCATTCTTAAGGAATCTTACCAAAAGCAGACTCTTTCAAATTACTTGAACTGGAGCTGCTCGAGTTATCCAGTATGTCCAGCTCATCATCTAATTCAGAGAACATATCTGCACATAAAAATTAAAGCAAAGAAGATTTTAAGCCACCTCTGACCAGCATAATAGTACTCCTGATGCTTCTTTTGCTAATGACTACCTTTCCCAGAGTTCTCTAAAGTGCTGTGATCCTCTACCAGGATTTCTTCGTATGTTCTTTCCTCATCTTTTCCACATGCAGATTGACAGCTTTCAGCTGGGAGGTCAGTATTTTCTGAAAATTCACTTTTGCAACTGGCTGTTCCACCGCTGCTGCTATGAAGACTCAACTTCTCATTATCTTTCTGACAACAAAGAACAAAAAGGAAAATGTTACATATTGTCCTTACCCAGCACACATTAGAAAACCTGCAAATGAAAGTGTCGCTTGCGTATACATGCGTACACACAAAAATGCACTGGTTCAGCCACTGATTCTAAATTTAGGAAAAAACTTTCAAACTCTTAATCTAACCAAATTATTTCTAGCCTGTACATAAAAGGCATCTTTGTTCTTGACAAAAGTCTTTTCATAACAAGCACTGAAAATGAAAAAAAAAACTAAAGAAATGCCAGACCAGAAAGAAATACCGAACAACACAAAAAAATAAAAGACTGGACAAAGACAGTAGGTTCCCAGAGACAAGCAATGGGAGATTTTACTCTCTTCCAGCTTAGACAATAAACAGCAGATCAGTTTTGGGCCATGCAAAAGCTGCACAACAGTCAAGATAGTTGTAAAATATGAAGTGGACTTGATGTGATGTGACTGATGTCGGAAAGACTCTGCAAGGCCGAACTGACCAAACGCTGACTGGCGTTACCGAAGCAGAGTTAAGAAAATCAAAACATGGAATACAAATTATTTGTCTGTAATATTTAAGTGCTGACTCATGTCTGTAGCACAGGGTTCTTTAACGAGTATCAAATTCTGCCTCTGCTGCTGTCAATGTTTATAGCTTTTCTGGAAGAATAGAGACCTCTGATCTTTGTTATTGCTTCTATTTTAATGTAGCATATTTTGAAGGCAGACTGTTCTTATGTTCTCTTTATACATTGTTCCAAGTCTTCCCACATTATTTCTGTTGCATGTAAATAAATTCATGCTTCTTTTTACTCTATCTCGTTAGACCAAAGTGCGATAAACGAGAACAGGAGATAAATCATATAAATATACCAGATTAAACAAATTAGTATCTTTAATAATAAAGTAATTTCAGGAGATAATACATTCCTAAATACTTACATTCCTACCAAGTGTGTCAAAGACGATTTGGCCTGCATCTAAGAAAATGTTCTTCCAAAGTTTTTCCCATGAAGTATTTTGACTTTATTGGGACACAGCAGAATGGGTGCACTAGAAACCCCTTCTCCTTCAGCAACTGAACTGCACCCCTGAGCACTGACTATACCACTGCCTGCATAATGGTCGTCTTCAAGTACTTCCCCATCTTTTGTTCTATTCCCCAAATTATAAGATATGGTTTGTCAAACTTTTATCTTTAAATTTGGGTAGGAAAAGATCATTTTATACTTAAGTACTGGACTGAGCTTATGTCCAAGATGCCACAATAGCAGTGACTGCAGCATAGCACAGCATGGCAACTGCTAACAATGACTCTCCAGCTCACTTAAAGAGACCGGTCTAGTCATGGCACATGAGCACGCTTATTGTGCCCTGAACAGTCAGCGCACAATTACTGAAAAGAACCAATTTACCTGGTCTACATCAAAGAAAACAAAGTAAAGAGAGAAAAGGGTCAAACTGCATGGACATTTCCAACTTAAAACTCCTTTCAACATTGCCAATACTGAACCTCACACTCGAATGACTAATTCTTAACAGTAACTTATAAATCAGGTGCAGCTAAGAGGGGGAAAAAAAAAAATCAAAAGGACTGCCATTGCCAATTGGTGTCAGATCTAACTGCCACATCAAGAAAGGAAACCCATTTGAAATGTGTGAACTGAATTCTGTAGACCTCATGATGAAAATAACCACCAGGCCTGCTATAGAAACTGTTCAGAGATCAGTGAAACATCTCCTAAAGCCTTAAAGCAGTTACATAAACTGTAAAGCCGTAACCTGTCTATACATAAAATCTGGTCCATTTACATAATATCTGAACGTAGAGAACTATAGTATTTCGTTGCTAACCAGAGAGAAATAAATAAATGTACTGTGATATATTTTGTCCTATCTAGAAAACAGGTAATAATTTTCAAAAGTGAGATGATATACTTTTGTTTCTCTTTTGAGTAGGACACCTGACTGATTTAGAAAGACAAAAAGGACACTGACTGGAGGGGCTGGGATGCGAGTTCAATGCCACTTCTGATCAGCATTGGAGTGGGACCATAAGGACCTACGTACAGATATAAAGAACATTACTTTCTCCATGCTCTTCGCAAAAAATTTTCTCCAACACCTTGAAACAATCATTTCCATATATCTCTGAGTCTCAGAGAGACTTTTTTCAGATAGGCAGAAAGACAGATACTTACCTTTTGAAGAAACCTATGAACCAATAGGATATTCAAAACATCAAAAACATTGAAACATGAGTTAGGTTGATATATATTCATTTGAACTATGCTCGTACCCACACTTGATTCTGAAGTTCAGTATTTTACATATCTTTCTGGAGGCTTCATCATTTGATCCAGTTTATTTTCACATTTTCATAATAAACTAGTGCCTCGGTTTCCCCATTGTTTGCCACCTTTGTTGAAAGAAACTCTGCCTTCTAGTATAAACAAACACAGTTCAAAAGGAAATCTAAGGGGAAAAGAGTCCCTGTGCAAAAAATGCTCAAATTATGAACCAATTAAATTTTTTATCCAGGATTCATCTTTATGAGTGAGAAAAGTTATCTCTGGAAACACTTGAAATTTGTATCCCACACATGAAGAAAAACCTCTGTCTACAAGTTGAGACTCTTCATCGATATCCTGTATATTTGCACTGTCTCTCTCTCTTCACTGGTCACCATTACCACTGTAAAATCAGATATACTTTATTTTTGGAGAAATGAAACCTAAATTGTTTTTTTCACCTTCCAACTTGAAAATTGGAAGGTGAAAATTAAATATAAATTGAAATTAATACTGTCCAAAAAAAAAAAGTTTAACTAAAATAAAGATACTGATCTTTTGTTTAGTTCTGTTTTGCCCTATTGCTGTCCAGAAGGATTAACTTTCCTGTCTTCAAGAAATATAGAGCTCTCTAGTGGCATTTGCAAACAATGTTTAATTAATCTTCTTTATCAGAGACAAGTAATTACAGCACTATAGTAGTCAACTGAATTTCTATTTCAAGAAAAAAAATAGGACTACTTCCACTATTAAATTATTTGTAAAAAAAAAAAAATAGAAGATAGCAATAATATGAGTAACAGATACCATGAATTGTCAGGAAAAAACCCCATATTAAACCAACGTATTTCTTTCTGTACCAGCTCTCACGCATTGGGAACCAGAAGTAAATGTTATTTATAAATGGGTTTAGTAAGGCTTTTGACAATGTTTCCCTTGACATCTTATAAAAAAAATCTAGGGAAGTGTGACCTAGACAAAAATCACAAGCAGTTGGCTGTATAATTCACAATAAAAATTGTATTCAACTTGATAACTACTTTGAGTGTTTGTTAAACTGAAAAGGGGTAGCGAGCACAATTTTTCAGGATCCCTGCTGACCTTGTTCCAAAACCATTCAATATTGTCACTGAATTACAATGATAATCTGCATAATGAGACAGACAGACTACCTATTAAACATGCATAGACTGTGATACATTCACATAATATATCATATTACAGCATATACATCATACACAGATTTATGTCAATGCAAGTGACAACAGGTGTCAAAAGTTTTGAGAAACTGGAGAAACTAAAAGAACTGATGACGTTTAAACAGGGAGAATGCAAAAGGTCTATGAGCAGGGCGAAACAACTGTACAAATGCACAGATGGGGGAAGGACTGCTCAAGACAGGAGCTCTGCAGGAAAAGATATGGGGATTTTGGTGAATCAGAAACAGAGCATGACTCAAGGATATCATGCTGTTATGAAAAGGCAAACATCATACTGGGACATATAAAGAAGTGAATCGTCTCTAAGAACTGTGTAATCTTTCTACTTGGTACCAATAAGTTTCTCCATTCGAGTAATTGAGTCTAGTTTTGAACATGACACTTAAAAAATGTGGACATACAGCAAAGGAGAGAAACAAGAATAATCAGAGGTCTACAAAACACAACTTACAAAGTAACACTGACAGAATTTAATTATTCAGTCCAAAGAAAAAAGTTACAGAGGGGAGATATAACACACAAGAGAAAAGAAATAACTCCTGCGTATTTCCACTGTAGGGGGGACAAAAAGTAAGCAGCTTAAGCTGCAACAAGTAAAATTTATGGTAGACTTTAAAATCACCTTAATTAAATGTGCAACTATTGCATCTACCTGGGATCCTGCAGACACAAGTGTTCATACAGTATGTAACAGGTTTGAATGTGCCCAGTAAATGCAGTGTTCTGGGGACATTCTGGACTTGGTGTTCTCAGAGCAATTATATGACACCTAAGAGTGGGTCTGAAAATTTGAAGTGTCATATACATACCATATGTGCACATGCATATGTCCATCTAATATGTCCTGGAAACAAGACATATGTAACACATGTTCTCTGCCAAGCATACAAAGCAAAACCAACATTTTTTGAAAGCATTAAAATAACTGCAGATACAATATATAGCATGTATGTGTACAATAGGTATGCCCAGGATTTCCAATTCTCTTCTGACAGTGCTTCAGGTATCCTCAAGGTTCTCCAGACATTATCTTTGGATGGAAGGGAGGGAAAAAAAAAAGAAAAAAAGGAGGGGGAAAAAAAAAAAGGCTCATTCAGACATGTGATTGCTGACTGTAAGGACAGTTTTTGCATTTCTGCTGGTTCCAAACTGTTCCCTAATTGGGTGTAGTTTGCCTTGGGAGAGACTTTCTATCACTTGCATTTTTATGACTGACTGGTTAAATACCTGTCAGGAGTGACAGGTAGCTCTAAGGTTTAGAGATGGACAAGATAACCGCTGACAATTACTCCTGCCTTATATTCTGTGATTGTATTAAAGTACTTTTACACACTAATAAATTGAAGCTGAATTAAACAATTTGTCCTTAATAGTTTGATCATACATTTTCACAGGTAGTAACTTGGCTGTGATGATTATTTTCTATATTCAGAAACTCTTAAAAAAATTATACCTGCAAAACAGTTTTTGCATAATTATTTTATTCTCCA